GCTCTCGGCACTCAAGCTGGTGTGATGGCCGAGCGGTCTAAGGCGCTGCACTCAAGTCTGTAACACGACTTTCCGATTATCGGAGCCCTTGCAGTATCGAAAGATGCGTGAGTTCGAATCTCACTTACACCACGATCTTTTGCATTCCTTTTCTTAGACTCGTCTGACTCTGTAGCTTAGTTGTCAATGAGTTCACCTTTCGCCCATGAGACACCTTTCGTTGCTCGTGATCCTTACTGTTTCTCAGCCCGATCTGTGGAAGTTTATTTTACTCTTTGAAGACCTTTTCGTGGTGTTGCTCGACCGCTGACTGCTGGCCGCTGGGAGATCCTGACGAGTGTCGCGGGTTTCCCACATTTGAGCCCTCTCGATGGCGCGTCCACCAAGCCTCCCGCCTTCATCATGGCCGCGCTGGCTCGATCCTCCAAACAGAGTGCGTTGATCGCCTATTCCGCCTCTTCCTGCCTTCTTGGCTAATTCCAAATGCGATTTGACCCTTGGTTCAGAGAATTGCCGTTGGCGGGCTGTTGGTTTTATTTTTCGGCTACGTTGCAAACCTCTTTCAACACGCCTACCTTCGACGTCTCTCATCCACAGCATCATCGTCTATGAGATTCGGAAAACCGGAAATCGTCGGTTCGGCCGCAGCGGTGGCTCTGCTTGCTGCTGCGAAGGACATCGAGACGGTCTATGACCGAAGGGTTGGGTTTATCGTTCAAGATTATGCAAGTACGAAGGGTCTCGCGGACTTGTTAGAAAATCTGTGGGTTGATATTTCCTCTTCGGAGTGTGTTCGCCAGGCGGGCTTGTACTGATGGATTTGACCTGCGCGGACAGTCTCGATACGGCCGCGGCGGATGGCACTTGGCCGGACGTTGATTATACCTCGGGTTGTCCGGCGCGCCGAGCTAATTGGCCCGCACAAGTTCACTGGCTTCATATCAGTATGTGGTCTAGTTTAGCTTATCTGTGTATCGCGCCTAACTACTTCCGACTCGCCGCAGTCCCCCTTGCCGCCGCATACACTGGGGCATTGCCCAAGCCAGAAGACACTTCGGCGTTGCAATGGAAGAACTACGTCGGAAATAAAGAAATCAAACAAGTGCTTGATAAGGCTATGAACTGGTGGTTCGATCGAGATTACGAAGTGGGCGCCTGCGTTGACCAAGGCGGCACTGCCAAATGTCCCTGTGGCACTGAAGGGTTATGGAATACCAACTGGTGAGAGTCGCCGGAGTTTGAGCGATGGAACATAAGTGATAGTAATTTTAATTAATCCACATACAGGTATAGCAACGTACGTCGTCGTCGTTGTCGTCGGTGATAGAGCGGAGTTCAAGTCATATGTCCCCCTAGGTCATTCTCATTCCTCGTTTGGCGACGGAAGCCTGCCTTCTTCTCGACAAATTCTTGTCGGCCTACCAAAGAGAGAGTTGTATCACCATCGGACTTAAGGGCTATGGAAGGTTCCATGCGGAACCGTTGCCCGGGTGAGCCGTACCGGCCGGACGAACGAGCTGCGGTTGACCGGTCTCAACAGTTACATGTCTGGGGCCAACATCCTCGACGTCGCTTCAAACACTGTCAATGTCGGGATTCTTCAGGCGTTTGGAGGAAACACGACTCAAGGACAAGAACTTATCAGTGAGGCGTATGAGCGAGCTCACAACGAACTCAGGGTCCAAGAGGGATTGAAGGCAGACGGTATCCGAGCCGACGGGAGTTTTAATCAGGTATGCGGAGCGGTTCGACATTTAGATATTCTATCTGAAGCAAGACTGTTAGCACAATGGGATCTTGTACAACGGGAACTACGGGAAGGATTAGTGCGCATGACCTTATCTGCCTACGCTCGGGGCGCTGTCGCTGACTGGACTCTGCCTTGCAATAGCGCCAACCTCGTTCTCCTTTTGGAACTTTCTTCAGCCGGAACCCAGTGGGAGGCAAATCAAGATTCACGAGAAGCTTTCGGTCTACACATCGAGGGGTCTTCCTGGATGATGTATAGTAGCACCCGAACCCACATCGTTCACTGGGACTTCGTGAGTCGTTCGACGACCTACTACCATGCCCTCTCTAATACCTCGCTTCCATAGAGTACAGTTGGGCGGATGATCACCTTCCCGGTTGTGGACCAACAGTGAGTTTGCCTGGCCCTGCAAGACCTCTCTATCACGGACTGACGGGAGGACAGAGCGACAGCTAGCATCAAGATGAACTTGACTCAAGTAGAACAGCTGGGTGACCAGTGGAAGGACTCGAAGATGAAAGACGTCGCGACTCGACTGAAGAAACCGGGCAAGACCGCGAACGCCGGGAACACACTGGGTAATCGCATGTTCTGGGTCAATGACTACATGGTGAGGGCGGACTCTTGGCTTGCAGTGAGGACCGGTCTAATTTGGCTCGCCTTAGGTCCACAGGGGCGAAAACTACGTGACCACGGTCAAGATGCTTTCTAAGCGTACGACAAATACAGAATGTGTTAATTCTCGTGAGTGGCTTTGGCGATGCTCTAACGCGTTATTGATATTTTAACCAACGATTCTTACAGAGAACATGTACGGCTTCCACCTGAGTCAGGGAGCGGTCTTCACATACGTCTCGGGACAAGAGTACGAGGACATTTCGGCCGCGTGGAATTGGAACATCATTCCTGGCATTACTACCGACTACGCCGAGACACCTTTCTACTGCTCGGAGACGCGTTGGAGTGGGATCACGGAGTTTGTTGGGGGAGCCTCCGATGGAATTGTCGGGATGGCCGTTATGGATTACATCAATCCATACACTGGAACGCTTCGGTACCGCAAGGCCTGGTTCTTCTTCGAAGGGGATATGCAGCACGTTACGGTCACTGAAGTGGAGTCTGTAACCAATGCCGACGTGTACTCGGTCCTAGACCAGAAGCGAGTAGGGAAAGGAGGGATCTACGTAAACGGCACCCTTTTGGAATCGCCTGATGGAGGAAACTTCACTGCACCTGCTTCCCTTTGGCATTCCGGGGTCGGATACACGTTCGATCCTGCTTCTCCCACTCTCCAACACCTCTCCATTACGACAGAGGAGCTTACGGGCGACTGGTCACACATTGGAACCTCAACCGCACCCCCCACCACGGTTGACGTCTTCACTGCTTACCTCAAGCACCAGCCGGAAAGGCTAGAGGACGGCCTTTCGTACACGATCTACCCAGGGACCGACACCTACCAAGACTTCGAAGCCGCGGCCAAAAAGCGGAGCGTGCGTACTCTACGTAATGACAAACACGTTTCCGCTGCAATGGATTCGCATGGGAGTACCATCATGGCCGTTTTTTGGCCGGCGGAGAAAGGACACCCCGATGAGAGCTTAGAGATTCCCTGGAAGGGCACAAACAAGCATCTTACCATTCGTGTGGAAATGGAGGCTATCGTTATTGTTTGTACCAAGCGGTGGACGGTGACGGTTGCAGATCCATCCCAATCCATGGAGACACTAGAAGTCGTGATCGAGTTCTCGGGAGACCTTGAGCAAGACCTGCTGGATAAGATTGGAGTGTTACCGGCGACCAAAAAGCTCTTGGTTCACCTCCCTCAGGGACCAGAAGCCGGACGGAGCGTGACCGTCGATCTTTTTAAACATTAACGTATAGACTTGCAGCACCGTATTACGGGCCGATACCCAACTTGTTATGATACCAATCCTTACATTAACCAACACTCTTTTATCGATTAATTATTTTTACTTTCCCCAAATCCAGCTGTTCTGGCGCAGGACGGCCGTCTTCGGCCGCCGCCTGCGGCGGCGCGTTCGGAGCCCAACCGATAATGGCCAAATAGCCTTCCAACTCCCTCCACCCAATACCATACTTGCTGCAAATCTCGTCGGTGTGGTGCTGGCCATCAAGCATCTCGCGCAGCCCATCAGGATACGGGAGTTGCTCTACTGACGCTCCTACGCCAACGCCTAGAACCGCGTTCCCGGCTCCCCCGGCTCCCCCACTCCCACCAATAGAGATCGTATTTGACAGCATCCCTCCTTGGCTATTGCGTTGCGAGATCGAAGCGGTCCTGTCCCTTGTTCGGACCGTGCTGTTCCTCGAGAGGACTGGGGTAGGCGGACCTCTGGAGCTGCGCCAACTTGCGGGGGTGGCTCCTACTTCAGCCAGGGTAGCGTTCATGTCTCCCTGTGCCGTTGCGTTGGAAGTGATAGATGTTGTGGAAGCAAGATAGGGTTGAGACGCGTGCTGAGTGTTAATCGCGGACAGTGTAGATTGCACAGAACCCTGCCTGGGGCGCGCACGCATTTGAGATCCTGGAAAGTACTGCGTTGGAGTCACGGTTTGAATAGGTGGAGATAGGTTGGATGGCGATTCTGTCGCAGTCATCACTCCAAAGCTCCTCCCTGGGACGCGGTAGCCATGGACGGTCGTCATACTGGAAGTCGACTCTATTGACTCAGAGATAGGGATGAAGCTCTGGAAGTAGTTGGTTGCCGTTGGACTGCCTATCCCAACGTCTTTCAACGCGGTGAGTGCATCCAGTTCTTCGGGATTCAGTTGTCGGCTCTGCGAGCCCACCCCGCCACGTTTCCTTTTGCTCTTGTCCTTCTCCCGGAAAACCAGTATCGGGTAGCGGTGGATCCGCCGCAAGAACCCCTTGATAACCCCAAAGCTGAGGAAGCGGCGGACGTCGATGCCGGTCGAAGCGATATCGTTTTCCTCCATCCAGGTGTGGATCGTCTTGCCCCGCTTCAGTTGCGAATAGAGGCGGAGCAGTTGGGGCCATGACAAATGATCGTGTCCTGTTTGTGGAATAGACTCGGCTTTTAATATCTACGGGGAGCTAATAAAGCACGCGGAGGGAATATGCAATAAGCACCCACCAGCTTGGGTCACATACGGCGCGCACTCGGCTTGCACGCTCGCGTCCTCCGCAAGCCATTGGATGGCTGGCTTCAGGGCATACATGTTCGTGTATTGAAATATGTCAACCATGAGGATGCACTGATAAAAGCTTACGAAAGGGGTTAGGGCGGAGCTAGTATGGCAGCTTTTGGATGCTTACAGGAGATGTTCCATGCACCTCCGCGTGAGATTAGGATCAGTATCCGCTAGGTCGGCAATTTTTCGGACATGATTGATCCCGTTG